TGGGATGGGTAAATTGAAGAAATCTAATCTTGTTTTTCATTTTTTTTATCTATTTATTATTTTTTTTTTTTTATATATATATAGTGGTGGGATGTGTATTTTGAATAAATCTAACCTTGTTTTTCGTTTCTCCTTACATGTTACCGTTGTGGTAACCATTTTATTTTTTTATTAGCTGCCATTTTCTCTCCAAATCTAGAAGCAGTGATCCGCCATTGTCTCTTGTTGTGTTAGATTGCGCTCTTTCCTTGTTATAACGTGCTACGCTCAGTGTCCTTCACTGTTTGTTCCTCAACCTGAAATATTCATATCCCATTAAAGCAAGGAAGATGGTACATCATTAACTAGTTTAAATTCCATATTATAATCCTATGATGTCACACATCACCTAGTTTGATAATAATTTATCATATTTGCGCCAGATTCTTTTAAGAATCTGGCGCAAATATGATAAATTATTATCAAACTAGGTGATGTGTGACATCATAGAATTATGCCAAGTGCCATGGACAGAATAAAGCATGGATAGAGGGAATGGTGTAAGTGAAACAGAGGTCTAATATTTTAATATAAATATTTTAATATTAGACCTCTGTTTCACTTACACCATTCCCTCTATCCATGCTTTATTCTGTCCATGGCACTTGGCAGTAGTCGTGGTCCATCACTGCCACCTGTAAGTCAGCTTTAGGGTAGGCATATCTGGTGGCTATATCAATCTTTGACACTGATGTGAAGTGATAGGTCTGATTCCTCAAGTAATCATTGTATCCTGCTCTGTTTCTGAAGTTGGCTGGCCTGGGGTCCTGAAACTGACAGTTTGCATTGCCCCCAATGTTATGGGCCTTCTTTGGAGAACCTTATGAAGAAAATAAATAAGTATGTTTACTAAGTTTAAAAAAATCTTTTTCTTTCATGCTACTAAAACAAAATATGAGCGTACTCCAACATATTTTACATACTGTAACTTGAGAGATTTGACACTCACACACACCTCGACTAATCGTTGATTTTTTCAAAGAAAATAGTTACGTAGCATTCGTGTTTTTCAAGCACTAAATGAAAAGAAAACATATACCTTTCAATCAATTCACAGTTTCGTCCAGTTGTTATGGCACCACATTCAAGTAATTTGCATTTGAGTTGGTTCACAGTCAGCGACGCGTGCCCACGCTCCATGTTAAACTCTGGTGTAAAGCTGCAAGCGAGATTTTCCAAGATTTTAGAAGGACTGCTTTCACCCCCACGCCATCTAACGGCAGACCCTCAATGCTGTTATACCCCATTTGAAGATATTATCAATCCCACAAATATTTTGTATTAATTTTACTTGCAAAATTGTGAAAATATTAATGGGGTAACAGCTCTTCAGATGAGATTCAAAATTCCACAATAAACATATTAATTGTAAACAACACATAGAAATATAATAAATTCCATTTTACCACCAAAACAGTGGTTATCACAATTATTCTGCAATCTGTGCTTGCCATCTGACCCTGTGGACCTTCATAGTCTTATTATAATTGATTTGTTACAAAAGTTAGACTTAAAAAAATTCATTAACTTTGAGTGCATGTACTCTAGGAGTACAAATGGATTCATTAGCCACTGAAAAATATCGGAAATAAACATGAGATCAGTGTCATAACTGCATCCAAACTGATAAGGTGATCAAATATATGTATCAAAATGTAAAGCCGTTACTCCTATGGAACTCAGACGCTTCCCAATATATATACCATTTAAAGAAAAACTGATTTATTTGATTTCAAGCTCATGCCTATGCATAGACCTTGTAATATACCCTCCTGCTGGCTTACCTGCTGGGAATGATTAGGTAAATGGATTCCGAGATTAAATTAATTTATGCAAGAGCATGCAAAGAAATAACATGCTCATGTGGCCCACTGTATAATGTTTAAATTTCAGACTGAATAGCTTTTGCATGTATATGTTTGTTTTGGAAGAGCAAGTTTTGTGAAGGAAGAAATGAATTTTAAGAGGTATGATCATTAGTTATTTTCAGTTAGAATGCTAGGAAAAACCTAGGGACATTGGAGTGCATTGCAAATGATCTGCTTGTATTATTATTAATTATACTTTTGAATTCAATTTAACTTTTAGGTAGGCACTTTTTAATGAATATATCTCCTTTCCCAATACATCGATCTGTGTCCAGATTGATACATATTAAACTCAGGCAAATAAAACCCTTTAATCATCTAAGTATTAAATGAGGTTTTTCATAAAATCTTTTAGAGAACCTTGTGATTGTATAAGGCGAATCAGCTGTGATGTTTCCTGTTAATAAAGTATTGATAAAGTTCCTTGATATTGATAAGATTGCTGGGCTTCAAAGCAATATAAGTATTCTTTGTCATGTTTATGACAGGCATATTGAACTGGCTCACTAGGTAAACATTGGTCTGTTGGCATTCAAACATCATCAATTGTGTACTTTCCTAATCATTTACAACAGAGAACGGGTAAAACCATAAATCAAAAGCAGTTTGAAATCATTTATCATTCCTTTAGCAACTTTGGTGGAATCTATACATAGCAACACATTGTAAAAAACACGCAATTGCTGTTTGCAGAACAACCCCCTTTTCTCCTTTTTGAAGGATATCTTTCAAGCAGTTATATGCTGATCTCTTCAAAATTAAATTAATTCCACCAGTTAAGGTTCACTTGCAATCAGCTCTAGTGATTGGTAGACCATGTTTGAACATTGATAACTGCTTATGAGTATCCACTGTGAGGGGAAGCGTCTGAGTTCCATAGGAGTAATGGCTTTACATTTTGATACATATATTTGATCACCTTATCAGTTTGGATGCAGTTATGACACTGATCTCATGTTTATCTTCAACATATAACTTTGTTTGTCATTATGGGCAACTTTGTCATACCAAAAACTTAAAGGACTGTTTATGAAGCTGCATGTCATAGAAACTTTGATGATTTTCACTTAGATTTTACATTTAAAATGATGGAAAGGAATGGAAGGATATTTTGAAGGATAGATTGACCACCACACTGTAACAGAATGAGGAAATATTGGGGGAATTAGAAATTTTACAAATGGAGAAAGTATTTGGAGAACATAGGGAATGATGACACTGGATAAAGTATCTGTGAAATAAAAATAGGACATACAATTGGAATTTATCTGAAATGCCAGGATTTTGGAAGCCAAGCATTTTAATCTTATTCCAGGGTTTTGTGTTTGTGTTTATGATCAGCTGGGAAAGGAAACTAACAGGTTTGGAATCAAGCAGTATAATAAAATTATTTTGATTACTCCTTAGATTAAATAACTTATGCATTGTATTTTTGTCTACTAGTATCTTCAAATAGAACACTACTGATCAATTTGACTTAAGAATAAAAATGAAAAACTTTATGATGTGACCTCAATTATACGTATGCACATGTCTTAAAATGCCTAGGTTACAATCGAGTTATGTTGAAATAGATTTCATTCTTTTTACACCAGTGTTGCATTTGGTTTGCAGCTAGTGCAATAACAAATATATTGTTTGACAATCAGAATTCAGCTAATGCTTTATTCATGTATCTGCATAGTTATTTGTCTATTTATTATTATTTTATTTCATTTATCAAAATTTATTATTATCTTTTTTTTTAATGATGATTTGTTTTAGTTTATGTATATGTTAAAGACCTATGTGCCTCATGAGTAGTAATTATCTGCTCCTGAAATAAATGGACATTGGTTCTTTCATAAATTTGCAGATGCCCAGGACCAACCAACTGTTTGTGGCGATATGCCAGTGGTCTCAGTAAGAGAGGACACCCTGCCCGGCACTGTGCTGTTGAATTTCACAAATTCTTCCATTCCTGGAGTCACTGATATTGTTATTGAGCGCATAGTGCCTGCTGATGGATTTGTCAGCCTGAACATCAGTAGAAGAGCATTTGTTCTTAAACATGCCATAGATGCAGAAAACATGACTGACGTAAGTCATTGAGAAACACAGGGATATTGTCACCCTTCCCCCAAAACTCTTTATTTACTGCCTTACAAACATTCTTTTGGGTAATAAAAAATGTTCAGTATTCACTGAATAAACTAATTAACATTTACTTATGTCATCTTACAGGTAATTGTGATTTTGGGGCAAAAATTGAAAAAAATGGTTTCTCAATTTTTCTCTTTTACCAGAGCACCCTTAATCACCGCTTCAATGCCGATTTAATGATACCATTTAGTACTCCAAAATTCTGCCAACGATTTTGCTTTATCAATGATAAAATCTGAACTAAGACTTTTAAGATAAAGATATATTATTAATCTGATGTTGATAGTGCTTTCTTAAATGTGCATGCATGTACAGTACTGGCCGGTCATTTAAATAGGGAATAAAAAATCAAATCCAAGCTTAGGAACTGGTTCAGCAAGGATTTTTTAGTAGAAAAATTGTTTTTTTTTTTCCAAAGGAAAATTCATTTTGGTGACCAAACCCTGTCAAGTATCTTGAAATACAATAACATGTTTTAAAAAAATAGGTTGTCATATTTTTAATCGACTGTTATTACATGTATTTCATATGTGATAGGAAAATTGATTATTCTGTCTTATGCAACAATTTTTTTTCATTGCATTCAAAGTAAATTATCAGGAGGTAATTTATCAAATGAAATTTGAGCTTACTTGACAAATTTCCATCCTTGTCACTTTCTATGCATGATCTGTGTAGTGTGGAAGGATGGAGATGACAAGTAAAGGGATAGGCCCCATTCAGAATGGATCAGGGGTGGATCCAGAGCTATTTACTGTCAGTCTTCCAAATTATCTTTGTTGATTCATCCTCCAATTTAGACTGTCTACCAACAGAAAAAATTAAATACTGTGAATGTAAATTTGAAAATCTGACCGTCTTCTGGAAGACACAGAAGATGGCCTAAATCTGCCCGTGTGGATGATCGGAGTACTTACTGATATGCCAACTAAATATGGCCGACGGTGACCACAATTCACAAGTAATGCCGCTGATTCTTGATGGTCTCCCCACATCCAAACATGCTGTGGGGTCTAGCAATTAAACCTAGGAGCAGAGATTTAACCCGTTTAAAGGCGCGTGTGGAGTCGGGGAGACCATCAGGAATCAGCAGCATTGCTTTTGAACTGTGGTCAGCCATATTTAGTCAGCGGATCAGTAAGTACTCAGATCATCCATTCTGAAAGGGGCCATAGACAAATTTCCAGAAAAGGATACACATTATATACCATGTACATTAAGTCAACATCATTACAAGGAGTAATGAACTATCAACAATATACAACATACTTTATAATTAATAAATCATCAAAAAGGCATAATTGTGACAATATATAGTTATCAAATGTTTTTCTTACTTTTTATTTCAGCAGAGTTATACATTTATTTTGACATGCACATACAAGCAAAGTGGGATTGAACATACGGGGGTAAATTTTTTTCAAATGGTTCAAATTTACATTGCAGAACTTTGAATTCTTTGTTAACAATTGTTACTTATTATCATATTAAATTTCTTTTATAACAATAACATTTGTATGCTATAGTATTCACATTTTTCATTTATTTATTTATTTATTGTTTTTTAGATCCATTTTAGACTTATAAACATTATATTGATATTTTGATGTGAATGTTTTTCCATTGCAAATGATGGTGGTACCTATATAGAATATTTAAATGTTTTTCTTTGACCCTTAATTTAGTTTACATTTGATGTTTCATTTATATATTTCAGAGTGCTGGTATCAGATTTACCATTGAGGATATTAATGACAACCCGCCCAGGTTCACACAGCTGGCGTATCATGTTAATGTGTCAGAGGTTAGTTTGGTAAAATATCAACTTACATTTCCTAAACAGCCCCAAGACAAAGAAAAAATGATTACTATTGTACTCTCGTTCCACATTCTTAATCATTTGCCTTTTGCAAAAATTAACCGTGAGCTTTAATAATATTTTTATCATATTTTTAGCATCATGAATTAGGAGAGAAAATCTTTACATTTGGATCTAGAGCTGAAGACCCTGATGTACATGGTCTAATAAGAGAGTTTCGACTGTTGGTGAGCATTTGGTTTAGTTCTGTGGTTTGCTGGTAAAAGTGTTTTATCAATAAAAAAAGCATTTATTTCTCCTCCATCCCAGACTACATGTACCACAAATATTCATAGTCCCATTTATATTAAGAAAAGAGGCAACACATAATATTGGTTGTTCGTGATTTGAGTGACCAAGGCAACTTTTATTATGTTACACCACTAATGAAAGTACTCAAACAATGTCAAGAAATATTGCCTGTTATAAATATTATGACATTAGGGATAAAAGTATATAACAAATATTCAGTAAGACTAATTATCCTAAATATTATGATGTAAAAAGTCAGCATACATTTTTTATTTACAAGCAATTTTGCACCTATTTCAATTATGGGATGACAAAGAAGAATAGTAATAAATACAGATTTGCAGACTGAAAATAAACTGATTTCATGTTTAAGAACCTTTTGATACTTTGCATTAGGATGTGCATTAAGAATATGACATTTTAGAATTCATCACTCCCTTTTAGTCACTCCCTAAGGAATATCACGCCTGTCAAACTCTTTGCATTTGCAAAAGAATTTTCATGTTCTGGTAAATTTGCTGCTGATTAGCAGCAATATAAATTTTTCTTGAAAATTTTAGTTTACAGCAAGTTTGCTTCAAACTTATCATTTAGCTAAGGATTACATTTGTCCCTTTTATCCCTTTGAAATGGTTTGATCATAGGAAATATTCATCTCATGCAATTCATTAACTGTCAATTTTGCTGTTTACTACTTTTTTAAAGTAAAAACTGCACATTTTTTCACAGGATGATGGAGATGGTTTCTTTAGGATAGGAACACCTGTTGTCAATGGTGACTTGATCCTAAATCATGCTTTAGATTATGAGACTGGAAGGAGACATTTTACACTTATTGTTCAGGCAGTTGTAAGTAAAAGTTATAAATTGGACATTTATATAGCAAAATGTTTAATTTTCTAGGAAATTTCAACACTTTTTTGAGGAGAGATTTTAAAAGTATTCACAAAAGAAAATTCAAACAATAAAAATGGATTTCATCAAGTATGGAAGTATGTCTAACATTGTTTTATGCAAATTAACATGGTAAAATTACCATGATTTGTTGATTATTATTTGTTATTATGATATTGCAGTTAAAGGACAGTGGGGTACCTTAGACTAAGTTCTCATACCTAGATCGATCAAACAGGATCGATCCATCTCCATGGGGTTTCTTGCTAAATTGCTTTTAGCTTAAGTGGCTTCTAAAGATGTCTGGCATGCCTACTTAAGCTGCTAAACAATAATTAATTCCCCCCTATAGCAGCTTCAGTAGGTATGACAGACATCTAAACTGCTTAAGTTGATTGCAATTTTGTGAGAATCCCCTTGAAGATAGATTGATCCACAGTTAGAACGATAGGGTCTGGGAATGGTCCCTTATATTGCTACCTTCTAAACTTAATTAAAGCACTCTCCCGTCAAAAGACAATAGGTCGCGCCGTGCTTTATTTTGTGTAAAGTCATGTCATCCACGAATGTGTTCCACGCACCAGTGCACAGGGTTAATTAATCGTGCTTAAAGCCAGATAAAGCACTCGGCGCTGAGTTTTAAGAGAAATAGAGCAGATAATTGTCTCGGTTTTGCCTCACCAATTATCTGCTCTATTTCTCTGAAAGCTCAGCGCCTCGTACTTTATCTATGCCTTTGACATTGTGTATGTTTCAGGATGATGGTAGCAGTGGAGAACCTTTGACTGCCAATGCAACTGTCATAGTACAGGTTCTGGACTGGGATGACAAGCCTCCAAAGTTTGAGAAGGATTTCTATAACTTAAACCTGCCAGCAAATGTAAGACATTTTTTATTCTAATCTTTCTTCAGTAATGTGATTTTTTATGTTACATACATACCAACATACCATTTAGTTTGTTGAATTTAAGGTGTTGGGAAGTATTTTGTTTGCAAATAAGAATACAACTGTGATTTTCTGCCTACATCTTCCAAAGCATTATATTTAATGGTACAGATGTATACAGCTGCTTTCTTGTGTGTATCAGTGTCTGTAGTTAAATATGAATACCCAGTATGTACCTGTGTTTCAGGATGCCTCAGTTGTGGGAGTAGATTTACTCATTCTACCTGAACCAATCAGAGCCTATGATCAGGATTTGGGGATAAATATGACAGTGCTGTACAGTATAGAATCATGTAAGTTTAATCTGCAGGATAAGGCAGCTTGCAAATTAATTATTTTTTACTGGAACATTTACAATTGATTTTATACCCATGTGCTTGGTGTTATATTTCATATTTCCATACAAATTAAAAATGCATATTCTTTCTTTTATGATTTTTTTGTTTTATTTTTTGTTTTAGCATTACCTGCTTCTGGCAAAGATTATTTCCAGATCAATTCATCAACTGGTCATCTGCAGTTACTAATGCCACTGGACACAGACACAGAGGGTGCAAACATATACTTGAGACTTAAGGTATACATAAATCAGGGGCAGATCCAGATATATTTTCTGACAGTCTTCCAAATTATCATTGTTGCTCTATCCTTCAATTTCGACCGCCATCCGACAGAAAAAAATAGATACCTGTGAATATAAACTTGAAAATCTGACCATCTTCTGGGAGAACCAGAAGATGGCCTTAATCCGCCCCTGTAAATTACCCCTCTTTTAGACAAACAAAAATTTTCAAAATGTGTTTATCTAATGCTTATTGTGTTATCAACAGTATAACAAAGCGTGTTAACAAAATTGGACTTTGAGATTGTCAGAATTAATGTGTAGAATTGGCATATACCAATATATATATATATATATATATATATATATATATATATCATGGGCGTAGCTAGGCATACGCACGGATGCACTGTGCGTACAATTTTTGGCCAACCATGATATTATTTTATATAAATTTAGTGTATTTTTCACGGAATATAAAACAAAATCCTCTGCTTATTAAAGTCACCTGTATGTACAAATCCTCTGCATCAAATGTATAGGCACAATTGTTAAGACAGGGGAGGGGGGTCAGAACAAATGTATAGGCACAATTGTTCTGACCCCCCTCCCCTGTCTTGCAAACTGAGGTAATCAATACCTGTAAGTCCTATCTTAATCATCCATCAAACTGGAACTTCCTTTACCTCTTAATTGGAGGGTTCAGTGGCCCTCAACTCTTCTGTACCCTCTTTCTTCAGAATATCGAACGCATTCTCACTGGCGATATTTATCTCAGGTAAAAATCTGCCTGAGTGTTATTTTCAAAGTGCAGCTCCCGCAACCCTGGGGGCACTAGATAAAATCTGAACACCAGGTTTAAGAAGGAGCTAAAGAAACAAAGGAAGAATTTTTCCTGCAAAGCTTCAAAGAATTTTGACACGGACTTGACCCAGTTTACCCCTCCAAACTAACAGGGTGACATGGGCAATTTTTACAAACAAATAATTAAACTTAGATGTATCAGAGCTCTGTCGTGTCGTACAATTGGTTGTTTTTGGGAGCCATGCATCCACATGTAACGTGAATGAAACCGTATGTTAGTTCATCTCAGAGGTGGATCCAGGATTATTCGAAGGGGGTTCCACATATACGAAGCTAGCCTCCTTTTAAATAAATATATCGTTCTGGGTAATAAGAATATTGAAACTTTTTTAATTGCGAGAATATTTCTGACTAAATGATGATTTTATTATTAATTGAAATTAAGCTGCGATGTGTGGTACATATGCTGTAATTACGCTGTCCTTCATCTCTTGCGTTAGTCTACATTTTGCTGGGAATTTAAAAAATCTGTGCGTACAATTTTTAAAGGTCTCGTTACGCCCCTGTATATATATTATCCCTATAATTTATCTGACTTTTCTTGTCATCCTTCACCCTAATCTTTTTAAACTAATAATTGATAATGATTAACATGAGACCATATTTATTGAATTCTAAACACTTCATACTTCAGGGATACCAAGAGGATAACTCTGACAAATATGCTGTTGCTAGTGTTATCGTCTATGTCACAGAGCATGCACACACTCCCACGACAGTGAGCCCTGGGTTAACTAGACCTGGGGGAATATCACTATACACCAGTGCTACTGGTGACTACAACTCTACATCAATAACTCCAACATCCACCAACATATCTTCAGTGTCAGGGGCTACTGATGCTGGAACCACCTCGAATACTAGTGACATTTTGGAAACAACAATGGCAAGCGGCAATGCTACAAGTAGAACAACTACGTCTGCTGGTACACAACCTTTGGTTCCTGATGGAACCCTTAACACAGGCAGTTCTGGTAATACAGTTACCCCCGCAACAGATGGAACAGCCACTTTTAGTTCATTTATATCAAGTGTGACTACACCTTTGAGTTCTGGGGGAGTGACAACAAGTGCTGCCACAAGAAATACCAATTTATCTGGTTCACCAAACCCTGGAGATATTACAACACAAACAACTGATATTATGCATAATACAAATCTTTCTGATTCCACTATGATATCATATCCTAGCATTCTGACTGTCACAGCTAACACAGTAGTCATCGGCACAACCAAACACAATTATAACAGCACATCCAACACAGCTGTAACCATGGAGACGGGTCCCAGCAAATGGCCTCCAGGTGGCACCACTGAGGACAGTAATGAACACAGGAACAGCACAGGAACACCACAAATAAAGAATTACACTTCCAGTAGTTTCACTGACCAGAATATCACAGGCACAGGGGTAACTGAATCATTCAGTCCTGGTTTTACTGGACAGAATGGTTCTGAAGCATCTGGCACAACTTTTTCTTCTGTTGTTGTTACAAACAATAATGTGACTGAAACTCCCCAAGGAGACTTTAACAGTACCATTTCCAGTGTCTCAAATGAAACAGTCATAATGAATTCCACAAAATTAACAACTCATATATGGAAAGATTTTCCCAACACAACAGAAATGTCAAAGCAGGTGACTCTGGGAACAACTGAGGGTGTTGTGGGGAATCCTGCTGGTGCAGACAGCCAAGAGATGTCAACAAACTCCTGGGCTGTAAAACTCTCTGTTGGGGCTGTCGTTGCTGTGCTGACCATCGGCCTGCTTCTGGCAGCTTTTTTCGTCAGGTGAGAAAAGGTGGCTTAAAGTATCTACTACATAGTACATGTAAATAACTGATGAAATTAACTGATTCTTGTGAGATCTATTGAAAGTGCACAAGAATGTATTGCTGCTTTGTTCAGATATAAAATCAGAATGCACTTTATATACTTTAGTGAGGTTGACATGCCTGTAAACACATTTTTTTAATCAAAAGGGATGTTTTTAAACTCTATAACATGTGCTTTTTTTTTTTTTTAATATTTATTGATGCAAACAATTAATGAAATTGTGTATGGAGTTATGTGGAATTGTGCCTTTTAACATCTGTGTTTATTTTATTTTATTTTTTTAAGGAGTCGTTCTCGGGTGGGCACCAAGTACATGTTAGACACGTATGATTTAGAGGAGGCCAAGCCACGGACATATCAAAGAGACAAATGGAATTCAACGCGATACAAGTTATTCTTAAGTCAGTCACCAAGTAAAAAATGACAGATATAAAAGACAGATTAAATTAAATTAAATGTTCATTTGTGGTTTGTAATTTGCATTGTGTAAGCAGGCATATGAAGGATTCAGGAGCTTGGTTTGTTTGGAAAATAAAATAAATAGATAGCACTTTTTCTATAACAATTTATCAACTGACAAGTTTATTGACATTTTTATTTATTTTTTTAAACTCTATTTTCTGCCCTATTGATATTGACTTTAGATAATTTACTGTAATCGATCATCTTACAGTATGTTATTAACTTGGCTAATAGAAGATATTTAAGTGTTTATATAATGTAATTGTTTTGTTATTTTGTACCATCTGTTTTGAAGGCATAATCCAAATCCAAAGGTGCTTAAATGTTGAACTTAACTTAAATCATTATCTCATTCATTTTGTAGATAGGTGCACATTACATCACTACTTCTTGAATGTATCAGTGAGTCTTTTTGTCTATTAGCCATGCATGTAGACCAATGAACCACTAGAGCAATTATTTTAAAAAGAAAATGTATTTTTCTGACCCATTAACTTTATGATCAATTAATCTGCAATTAGTATAGAAGTTTTCTTTTTCGTAAAATATTCTTTATATGGTATAAATGATTTGTATAGAATCACTGAAATTCTTTGGAAGTTAGGATATTATTTTGGACTTTCCTCTTGCAAACCAACTAAGACCATTTTGGAGTGTTATATAAACATTTATTTTGTATGTGTTACACATATTTGTATGTGTTACATAGAAATGGGATGAACAGCTAGGATATTTCATGTGAAGGCAACATTGCCAAAAACTTCCCTTGATAATTCTTACCTCTCTCTCTCTCTTTCTCTCCCTCTCTCTCTCTCTCTCTCTCACACACACACACACTGCCTTTGAGTAAACTCTTCCTGCTTTTTAGCAGGTGCTTAAAAATTTACAGTGTGTATATCCTTAATAAACAGTGTCTTCATAGAATAAGGGAAATTCTGTAGTAGATCTCCTATCATATTATCTTAATTCTTATACATGTGCATTGCATGTGGTGTCACCCAATTAGATAGAATCTTGAATTTAATATTACCTGCTACCTGTGATGAATATTCTGCCTGGGTCAGTCATATACTACCTAATTGTAGTCAGTGACACAACAGGGGATTTAAGTTTTAGTATTCTCAAAGAGGGGAGCATTATATTTGCTGCAGGGATTTCAAAAGGAATTTCAGCAAGGTTAGTATTTTTTAAATTTTGATGGAATAATTTGGTTTATTGATTTAAAGGCAATAAACCTCTGTATGCTTTTTTGGTTGTGTAATGATGTCTTTTTAATGGGATAGAATTATTACACAGGTAAGGATAAAGAAATTGAAATTCTTTATTTAAGTTTTCTTAATTTTTCATATATAAAGTTGTTTGCTGACTTTGAATAGCAGGTCACATGATATGGTACAGTAAATTTAAATGGGAAAACCTTTGTAGATTTCTGATGAAATATAGTGAACAATAATTTTAAGTAGACTTGAATGCCTCTCACTCTGCAGTATTAAGCAAAAAAAAAAAAAAAAAAAATGAAATCCCATTTAAATACATTCAAATAATCCACTCGTGTGAAAAAATCTAGGTGTCAAAGTTTTATTTATGTTTATTGCTTATTTACAAAACTTTGTCAAGCTTTCCCACATTATCTCTCCACATTGCACCTGTATGCAGAAAACCATTACCATTATAGCTGGTTAGACTGGGTGTGTACAGTGATCTATCTGACCACTGACCATTTAGACCAGAGACCAGATGGACAATCGACTCATCTTAATGTAGAAAACAACAGTTTGGTGCGATGAAGATCTGATGCATGAGTGATTCACAGAGTGCTGGAACCTTATGATGAAGTACCCCTTCTGTATATATATATAAAAGTCATCTCCAGGGATCATCTCATTGTATCAGCTATATAAGTGGACAGTGAGGATGTTTATCATATTTGGTACCGTGCAGTATCTATACTTTTTGAAGGTCTTAATGTGACTGTCACCTTGCATTCTTTTCCCACAGATTGAAAGATATATTGAATGCAGATAGATGCCTTGCGAAATTTATATCTATTTGAACTTTTGTCAAAACATCGCTTTTTATTTGACATTTTAGCTTTAGTATGGCTCACTTTTGTAGATGGGAAATTTTGTTTCTTTAATATTATTGTTCACATTTGATAAAAACATATTCAATTTGTGCATTAAGTAAGAATTATTTTGCATGCAAAACATGAAAACTATTGGTCTATAATTGGGTTTGATACATTTAAACTCTGCCAGCAATTTAAAATCTTCAACATTCAAAAACTTCGAGCTTATCCCTCAGCATACACGTATTCATGCTCAATCTTCATATTAGATTATAAAAAGAAGAAACTCCATCATCTAAAATATCCTGTCCAAAAATGGTAAAAAAAATCCCCATTGTTTGCATGACAAAGCAAATCAGCATTATCTCTTGACGTCCATTTAATGGGGTCCATGCGTAGCTTGGCTTCTGGGTTGCATGTCTGGAGAAATCTGCATCAGGAAGCCAGCATAAAGACTTCTGTTGTCTCATTGTCCGAGAGAGAAAATAAAAATAAATGTGATATAAAAGTGTCCTTGCCTGGATTTGATCTCTTATTTACATACAGCGTAGGCAGTATACATTACAGGAGTGGCTGACATTGCTGCTGTGAAATCCGTGAGGTGTACAAGTTCATCAAGTCTGTGCTGGATATATCTGTGTAAGGATACTTTTTGTTTTGTGAACCACCAACGAGGCAAATATTCTGACAGATTCCAAACATCAAACGCTGTCTCAAGTGTTGCGCTTTTTCAAGTTGGATGTACTGCAGTTTTTGCTCATGGTTGGGAGTTTTTTAAGTTTTGTTTTTGTTTTATTTTAGTAGAGGATTATAGGGTTCTCAGCTGCAGGTTTTTAAAAAGTTGACATATACAAACTTGTATATAGCTGTGCACACTGAAGATGTGGAAGCAACTACTTATCATTGGAACGTATATAACCTTATTTTTTAAAGCAGGTAAGTTTATTTTGAGTTTGTCTTCAATTTCAATGCAAATGCAATGCATTTTGCTACATGGGAAATCCGCTGCACTCATACTGTACACAATACTATACAGAGTGTATAAGAAAAAATCCAAATTAAAGAAGTTCAACTTTATTTTGGTTTCAGATGGTCAGTGCATTGAGGTCATGTACTCAAGACCAGAACTTGGAGTTGAACAGGTCCCTGAAAATTCAAGGGTTGGTGAGTAAATTTAGTTACCATTACCACAAGATAAGTGAGAAAACTGTGTTGCGTGGTCACTATCATGTATCAAAATTGGTGTTGTAAGAATTAAACACTGTTTACACTGGATGATTTTGGTTTTTGTCCATAGTTTATAAAGTTTAACCTAGTTATTGATAAATCTACCTGGATTGATAAACTTTCATCAATCTAAAACAGTTTGTTTTAACCATTTTAAAAGATACTTAGTGGCTTTGCCGGAACTGACATTTAGTCAAGGGGACAGATGATTAATCAGGTCACAGGATAACTCACCTGAGTTCACAGCAGTTAACTCAGCTCATCAACTCATTTATTATCTCATTATAATGAGTAATTTAGCTTATCTGTCAATGTATATTGTTTTGTAAGACAATTCATATTTACTTTAATGTGGATTTTGTGTCCTTATTCACCACAATTGATCTGTGGTAGGGTTTATGAGAAATAAATGGGTTCTGAGATTGAGAAATGGAGGCTTCCACTCAGTTTTGGCACCAGGCACAAGGAGGGCCGAGACCTTAATTTGTATGCAAAATCAGTTTTCACTTTTGGCATCTACTTTTTCTATCTAGTTAAGAAAGAGAAAAATCACTTAACCTGGCCAAATGCATCACAGTTGGAAAATTAAGATGAAATGATGTTACATGTATAAAGATGAATAAACTGGTTGAAGGGTACCATTGTAAAATTACCTGATGGTATCAATTGTGATTGACAGCTGTACGTGTACTACTTAGTATTTTTCTGCTCTAAGAACGCTCCATTCTTGTTATAGATTTCTTTATTGCAGTCTACAAGACAACAAGTATGGCAATCATAGAAATGTTAGCAACATAAATAAGACTTTTTGCTCAACCAAGAATTTTGTAAAATGAAAATGATTTTTTTTTCATTTAATCATCCAGTAAAATTCTATTGATTATGTTTATAATATCTATTACATTTTATTCCTATGGAGAGGTTGACATTTAAGAAATACCATATAAGTGATATAATGCATGTTAGATTAATGTAACAGGCTGTTCCTCTGTGGAAAGGGGATAAGAAGTCAATGATGGAAGATAATGTGGAATGGCCCTTACTTAACAACAGCACCAACCATGACTATTATACATTCAAGGTGCTGTGTTAGTGAGATTCCAGCCTTCATCGACAGCCTTCAATGTTCAGTTAGATAGAATGTCACCAGTGGGGAATACTCCTAGTGGACTGGTCACTCTGGAGAGTTTAAACAGAGGGCTGGTGCTAAAGCAACCATTGGATCCCAATAATGATGACAGTTATCCGGTGAGCTATACATTGTGAGGCTTTATTCTTAAGTCTTCTCCCCATCTCCCCCCTCCCCCATAAAAAAATTTAAGAGTTTAACTCATAAGCAACATTGGTTATTTGCCAAGTGATTGTACTTCAGTTTCATGTAAAGATAAAAGAGATTATTTGCTAAGAGAGGAGCCTTGTGTTGCAAACATAATTTACTTTGCTTAAAGCAGAGACAGTAGCAGGTCTACTCATAACCATATCAAAATTGCTCTTAACCCATATCATTTTAAACATTTACTTATTTACAAAACAATAAAAAATTACTCTTTTAAAAATATCACTTATCGAAAAATATGAAATTAGACATATGAATTTTAAAAGATATAACTTAGAACTCGTGTTTTTTTCTTGTTACCAGGACACGTTGAGATACACTATCCAGAGCAGCTGTACCACAGTGGGTTATAGTGGTGCACAGGTTAGAGTGCAGCAGGTACAGTTTATCACGTATAGCTATAAAGACTTACAAATATTATCACTTTTTCTCTTTTCTGCTGTTTTCTCTCCATCAAAAGTTCTTTATCTAATTCCATAAAATTGATTGAACTCATTTTCTCTGGTGTACATGGCATCTTGATGATATCCAATGGGTCATCCTTGTATTTTCTTTTTGGTAATGATGTATTTTTAAAATATTGCATGCTTCTGTTAACTTTGAAATCTGAATATCAGAAAAATGATTCTTTAATCAACATAGCATGTAGTTGTGGACTCCGGGCCAGGTATACAAATTCAATATCTGAATAAGTTACATTTACCACCTTGCAGGCTGCTGATGTGATAGTAAATGTAGTGGATGTAAATGAAAGCCCCCCTGTCTTCTCAGCATCCAAATACTTCCTCAGTATCTCAGAGGTAGGTAGTTATCATATCTTGCATAGCATGACAGACAACAGAATGACTGCTTGTAGATTGTCCTAGAGCACAGTGATAATTTATAGTGAAATTAAATGAAATAAATAGGATTAAGTGTTAAATAAGACTTACCTTTAAGTTGAAGTTTGACTGTTCCTTAGTAAATTGGTAGACATTCTTAACTGCATTTAGTTCATGCATTCAAAAACGTATTAATTTTTGCCTACTTTTATGGATATTTGAAGAATATATCATGTATTGGAGATGCTGTCATTTAGAGTTATTTCACTATGTGCTTGCAGTTATCTCCCGTGGGTACCACAATTATGAACCTCAAGGAAAAAGTAAATGATCCTGATAAAACTGGAGGAAATGTGCGCTTCTATATCACAGTATGTATAAAATAACTATACATTTTATGTATACTAATAAATTATATGTTATTTTCATTCAAATGAAAACATCGCTTGTTTTTAATTTTTTGCATTTAATTTTTTTAATGTGATAGAATGATATTATAATATTCTATGGCAATATAAATACTGCATTCTGAAGTTTGACTGTTGGTCACTGTAATCTTAATAATTTTAATTTCATTTTAAGGATTCAAACAGTGGTCACTTTGCCATACCTGCCCCAACAGCAGGAATGGTGACCGTTGTCCAGGAGCTGGACTACAGCAAAGGTCCAGGGACCTACAGCATCCTTGTGAAAGCTGTGGTGAGTTGACAGAAAAAAATTATTTAACAAAAAAAAAAAAAAGTAAAAGAAAAGAAAAGAAAAAATAATAAGTTAAAAGGCAGACACCAAAAGGCTGTCTTTTCTTGCTTTTGGTACAGAACACGCACACACTTTATTTGTATATGGCCTTCCCCTGAGTCATGGGTGGGTGAGTGCAGCTTATCATCTGAAATAAGACGTATATTATTAGCATACAACAGTAGTTTCATTTTACACTTACTTTTGAATTAATTTATGCCATATCTTAACCACTCCTAGAGACAGAACTTAAGTTTTGTATTCAAAGAGAACACTGCATTCTACAGTCTTATTTAATTCATAAAGTCAACAGTGTGTTCAAGACATATTTAGTCTGCAATTAAAAGATTGTGATCCCTTGGATAATATCTGATCATCACCTAGGTACAAAGGTATAATGTCCTTCTGTGATGATGCTTATCTAAAACATTCTTCAAGTCATGACAAGATGGACACAAAGGCAGCTTTGCTGATGTTATCTTTACTTCCAGGATGATCCAGCCTATGGCCAGCAACCCCTCTCTTCCTCTGCCACTGTTGTGATCAGGTTGGAAGACAAGGACAACATGAACCCAGCCTTCACTCAGAATGCCTACACTGCCTCTGTCACTGATAAGGTAAGAGGGCAAGATCTTGCAGCAAAATTACACTTGATATTCTCCAACGTAAAACTTCATTTTATGGCCCAGAGTCTTACCTTGAGTACACCTATTTTTGGACATTTTGGAATGTCAAACATTTATCAATTGCTTTTAAATTGAACTTTTGATATCAATAGTACAGAAATTCTTTGATGTTGAGCTGGAATCTTTTTCAATTACTGGTACTATACAATATAAATGGCACCCTTTTTTTTCTGGATTTGCATTATGATGATTGTGGCTGGACAGCGAGCTTATTGTAATTCTATAAGATGTAATTGTAACTAAGTGGCCTTTTTCTTCTCTAAAATGTATGAGTTTGAATGTATATAGTTATGTATGTGAACTGATAAACCTTAGTGGTCTAAAGTATAAGTCATACATAACTGACAGTAAAACCACATATTCCAGGAAACCGGTGTGCTAACCACATCACCAGCTCCCATTCATGCCTATGACCAGGACCTGCAGATTAACACTGCTGTCAGGTACCAGATTAAGTCAGGTGAGAAAAGTGCTCTGAAATAGTTAACACTGAACTGGAGAAAATATGATTGTAGCATATGACAAATGTTAACAGCAGAGTCAAAATATTCTAGTGACTAGTTTCACTTTTTATTATTCCATTACTCAAACAGCTTAATAGGAAACTTTAAAAAGAACTTTTTAAATACAAAAATGTTTATATTATACATTGATTATAAAGAAAGCAATGGAAATCTTATAGAAGCATTTTGTTTTCTTATTTCAGTGCACCCAACTGAGTATTCCAGCAACTTTTTGATAGATGACATCACTGGCACTATTGGTATAGCAAGGCCACTTACTGGAGCCTCTCAAGTCACCCTTACACTGGGGGTAAGTGTCTCTTTTCTCTTTTAAGTGTACAAAAAGTAAATGACATTTGTATAAGATGAAGCTGTCTTATAAATATTAAAATATTTTCATTTTTTCAGCAAAATAAAAGTAAGAAAGAAATTCACCTTAATTTTAAGGGTCACTCTGTCAGTGTATCACGAAGAGCTGTGCATACTGATATATTTTCCCTACGCATTACATAACATTTTGTTCCCCATCTCCAGGCTTACCAATTAGACAACCCAGTCACCAGACAGGCACTTGCAGTGTTGGTGATCACTGTCAACCAGACGGAGACTACCACTGCTGCATCAACATCAACAGCGTCTACCACATCAACAGTACCACCCACCACGCAGCCTTCTACTACAGTGACAACTATATTACCTCCTCTGCCGCAGAGCATAGGTCAGGAAAAGAATTTTTTCTCTTCATTTTGATTTTCCTAAGGGAGGAGGGGGTGTACAAGGTTGTAAACTTTTTGCCTCACTTAGCTCACCAGTATTAAAAAATGGTAGATAAGGACAATTTCACTGTAACGTTGGGTCCACGGATAGAAAAATTGCTTGGCATTGATTTATTTCTAGGGGAGGGAGAAAGAAAAAAGGGGTATTTTTGTAGCTGGGGGGGGGAGTGGCACACTGGATCCAACATAATTTATATAAGTTTCATTCTTAAATCATTTTTTTATTGTAGTGATTAGGCATTAATGACTCTCCTTCCTGATCAGTTAAATTATAAAGGGTTGTAAGACTTACTTTTTTTCCTCTTGGATTGTAGCTTCTCAGCTGCAGTGTATAGAAGTGATCAGCCAAGGAGTAAGCAGAACTTCACAAACTGTGCACTCTGTTGATTTGCCAGAAAATATGGCCACAGGTAAAAAATAGTGATAAGTGTTTAAATTGTGAAATTTATTACAAAGTCAAAATTTCAAAATGTTCAGTAAATCAAAATATCACTATGTTAAAGATTTTCAATGTAATAATAAATATGATTTAAATACTAAGGTGAACAGTAAACAGTTTCAATGCTTTGAACCATGGTATAATTATCTTTTCTCTTGCATTTTTAACAAAAAAATTGTCATAAGAAAAACAAGAAGATTTACAGCAAATGTAAATTTTGTGTTACAATTTACTCATTTTGTGGGATTTTTAAAAAATATGCTCTATCAAATAGTATGTTTTATGGTTTTTAACCCCATTCTACTTGTCTCTGCCCCAGGTTCTGTGTTAGCTCAAATAAGACCTTCAGCTGGTGTGATCAATGTCACATTAAATCAGTTACAAGCTGTGATTCCCCCTGATGCAGAATATGTTACCCTGAACACCACACAATGGAGACTAATTCTGAAAAATCCACTCGACAAAAACAATGATGATACTTTTCCAGTAAGTGATCACGCTAAAAATCATCATGTCTTTTCCACATCACACACATTAACTATATATTACTTCTGAGTGATTCTATTAAACCTAATATTTTGTATGTTCTTTTTAAAACCATTTTGGTTTGAAAGGGAATCACTAATTTAGATATTGAACAAAACATATTACTAAATATCGTTTTATATTTCAGTCATCCCTACAGTACAGACTATTTTCCACGTGTTCAGTGTCTGGCTTCACTGGTTCTGTTGACAGTGTAAGTTATCTGGATATAATTGGCTTATAATCTCTGTTGACACATAATGTACTTAAACAATACAACTTATTGGAATATTTTTTTTTTAGTACATGTAACTTTGTGGTCAAAATAATATTTTTTTTTTCAAATTCCAAGCAAATTTAAAGAAAAAATATAGGCCTTGGGATACATTGTCTTTTTAATTAAAGTTATCTGCTCAGCATTTTAGGTCAAAACTGAGTGAATCAGCATATGAAATGAAAACTATAAATATATGAATTCTATTTTAAATTTAGATTACAGATGTAACTTTTAACATCAATGATGTGAATGAAGCACCACCAAAATTTACTAAAGACTCCTACAATATTAGCATGGAGGAGGTAGGTTAATAGCTCCTTTCAAGGAACATAAATAGAAATTGAAAATATAAAAAAACCTTTTAAGTAGTACCTTGTCAGCTTGGTTTCTTTATGATAACCAAGATTTGAGACTTTCACGCATAATACCTGCAGTTATGTGATGTAATAAGAGACAAGATATTGTTAGTTATACATGCAATAAAAATTGTCACATTTAGAAAATTATGCTTTTAATTCCATCTTTCTGTGGCAATGTTTTTGGAAGAAATTTTTCTCTGTCTTTCATTTTTTAATACTTGAAAAATAATGTTTTCTTTATATCATTTTCTAGGGTACTGTTCCTGGAACATTTGTCTTCAACTTTGGAGACAAAGTCATGGATCCAGATCAGAGTAGAACTCCTCTCAGCTTCAAACTGCTGGTGGGTAAATTACACCTGGAAAATTACGTAATTTAGTCAAATTCAATACTGCCAAACATGTCAAGTGTTCAGAATGACAAATCAAATTAAATATAATCATCGCAACATTTCATTTTCTCATTCAATAGAATTAAAAGCTACTGCTCGACAGGTATGCATGTAATGCGTTACCAGCAATGATGATTATTAGGATTTGAATTTTAAAAAGTTTCATGCTTTTGATTTAATTAATTAATTTTTTATTTTTTGACTGCAGAGTAATGGGGAAGGTTACTTTGGCCTGCTGGATAACACTTCTGGTATTATCATGACTACTAAGGAACTAAATTCCTATGGGGGATCCACGTCCTTTACCTGTGTACTCGAAGTTGCAGTAAGTTTCAAGATTGTATTTCTGATTTCTGGTACACAAAACTTTAGTATAACTTTATCAGATTTGTCCTTATATTTCATTGTTTTCTACCATTTATTTGTTTTTACTTTGATTTCCAGGACAATCTTGGGCAGGCTGGTGCTCTCAGCTCTATTAGTACTTTGACAATTACTGTCACAAAAACCAAAGGCAAGCATCCAGTTTTCGCCAGAAAATTATACACAGCAACAGTAGAAAATGATGTAAGTGCTTCTGGTATTATCAATTTGATTTCACTGGTAGAAGTAAAAAATTATAATTTTCCAGCATTGGATATAAGTTTACAGAGACTAAGCAAGTGTTTAGGCTGCCACAGTAAAGGGGGCAACAAGCTGCCAGAGTGAAAAAAATTATTAATAAAGAAAAAATGTTTTAGTAAAAATTAAGAAAATGAAATTTAAATGGCAGATAGAAAAGTAATAACAGAAGAATATAGAGAAGTATACATCAGTGGTGTTGTTGCGAGTGCCAAAAAACCTTTAACCAGCCATTATTACATTTTAACCAGGGTCATGGTCTTTGCATCAGCTGCAATCTGAGCAATCTGTGTTGCAATAGTTAAGATTGCTCAAGCTGATGATGAACATCTCGTACATTAAATTTTCATTGTAAATTGAGACTGTAGCAAAAGGATTTTCTAGCTAAGAATGAATGAACTTACTTATGGTTTAAACCACTGAAATGGAGATGATTCATGTTTTATTATTTTTCCAGGGCCCTTCTGTTGTTTCTATACAGCCAGAAAGCATAAGTGCAGCCAATCCCGATGGGTCAGTTGGCACTCAATTAAAATATAGTATCGATACAGGTAAGTTGACTCTCTGTGTTGTTTGAATGATATACCAGTGCTTTTTACCTTGAAACTTCCAAGTTGTACAAAAAATATATCTATTAATCAGTATTTTATGATAATCTTGGAAGTGACACCTTTATAAATTATTGTCTCACATTCTTTCTGTTTCAGTGGTACCAGCAGACCTCCAAGAGGCCTTCAAAATTGATGTCACCTCTGGTCAACTGACACTCAATTCCTCTCTGGGAGATATTCTGTATTCTCAGGCTACCCTTGTACTCAAAGTAAGCATTTGATAATAAGATTTCAGGAAAGTAATGTTAGGTATACATTAACTGATCTCTTTAAACCTACTGATGTCATTTTAAAGACACTGAATACACTTATGACTCTGCTGCTGAAGACACGTGCTTATCTGCAAATCCTCACATTTTACATATATTGTTTGCCAGCTATTTTTATGGCATATTTCATTTTTACTAAAAGTTCGTCAATCATTATTTTTTATCTTTCAAGGTATCTGAAGGGGACACAAACGGCACAAAAGCAGATACAACTATTGTGATTGTCACTTTTAATATTCCAACACCAACCACAGCTGCAACCCAGGGAAGTTCCAGCAGCACAGCCAGCAGTGAGTTCACATCACAGTCCACAATTGCTGTAGCTGTGACAGATGCCACAATTGTGTTAGATGAGAGGGGCCCCAGTAGCACTGATAGCAATGAGGGTACAACAAAGCACAACACCACCACAGGGTACAATGGGCAGCAGCGTATCACGGCCAGAGCTGAACGTAAGTATTACTGAATGCTATGTTTATCTAGTCAGTTAGACTGCAGACTACACTTTATTCAATTAGGTCTTTTCTTTTGTAGTACAATATTGTTATGTAATAACTTGTGTGGTTATTTGGTTCCAAATGTATTATAATTCTACTTTTCACAATTTTCAAAGAGAAGTTTTATTAATGAAAATCAAATGTGTTGTACCATTTACTATTTTCAGCCTTGTCCACCATGATAATCATAGGAGTTGTGGCAGGGAACTTGCTGTTCTTCCTAATCACCATTGTAGTTATTATTGTGGTATTGCAAAGATGGCGGAGAAATACCAAGTCGCCATCCTCTGAGGAACACCGTATGTCATTTAGTGTCCTTAATGCCGAACACATGCCCGATGATGCTGCCAGCCATTACGAGGACCTGGACAAAGTGAACTACTTGTTGAGGAGGATGAATGCGGAGGAGTATTTCCAACATCCCAATAGCATGTACAACATGAGTGCTGAGGACAGTACCATAGCCAGCACCACAGTCAGCTCTCACATACAGCCCAGTGAGCACTCTCAACACACGTATCCAAGACAAGCATCGATGGACTCCTTCAAAGCAGCAGCAGCCACTCCCCCAGACTACTTCCCCCCACCCCCGGATGATCTCGACAACTTTGAGAAATGGGGTTTCCCCGACAACACAAACACATGGCATCCAGGCTACGATCATCCTCCCATTAGTAGCTTTGATACTAAAACATGGTCTGCTGCCAAGAAGCCCAACACAGAAACTGGGCCTATATCTGCAGGCTACTACGAGATTCCTAGAGAAACTCTTGACTATGGAGACGTGCCTCCACCACAAACCTCCAGCAATGGCAAACCCTTGCAAGAATCTTTTACTGCACTATAAGCCACTCAAACAGATTCATGCATGGTTTTCAACAATTTCCTGAGACTTGCCTGTTATGTACATTTATTCTACCACAAATTTGGACATTACACTTTTTGCAAGATTCATAATGTTCAGATATTAAAAATACTTTATCACAACTCTGCTTCCAGAATTTTGAAGCATTTTTCTGTTTCACATATCATGACAAAAATATTATTTCTTGAATATATAATGAATCAATAAAGTTTGAATTTAGGGAGTTATTACATTTAGCAAGGGGTAGTGACAGACAATAATATTTGAGCAGAACATATCAGATGGATTTTTTTTTATTAGAGAAACAATTTTGCTGGTTATCACTACTGAGAATTTACAAGCATGAATCTGTAGTTCTGAGTGCATGCTTAATCTTAATTCAATTTTCCACTAGTGAGAGATGCATGTGAAAAGGTCCCAGATTTCTGTTTAGAATTTTTAAAAGCATGTTTGTATTATTAACAGAATTATTGAAATTTCTCGCAGAAGATCAGTTCCACTTTATTTCTAATTTGGTTGAACTATAATTATGCCATGACACATTTTTGTATCACTTTTGAAAATAAAACATGAAAAATATTTGAAAGTCACATGAACTTTCTTCTTTGTTGAAACTTGTGGTTGCAGAAAACTCGAAAATAACTTGACAGTTAAGCAAACTTGTCAATACTTGCTTTTAAAATTTTGATAAACTCTTACTGTAACAAAAAATTCCTCACCAAGTCGCTTGTATTCAGATGATACTACTTTCTCACTATTACCTACATAATAACCGAATGTGCTAGAAAATAGTAGTATACAGTCATCTAATGAAGTATAAAACTGTCATTCTTATCTTTCTGAAAGAAATAACAATTGTGATAAAAACGCCAGCTTTTCTTTTTATTTTTTCATCTTCTAAATACTGTATTGACATTGGGTATATAGCTCAGTTTGCTTTTATCAAAATGCATCTTTTTCAGCCATAAGTTATGATGAAATTAATGAATACTTAGAATTTAATTGGAGTTTCTTCAAACTGCCCTTTACAACAAAGCAATATCCTCAAGCAAAACGTTTCTACACTGTGACACAGAGTATAAACCCCACAAACAAAAATTTCTTTGTGAGAAATCAAAATGACAAATGGCAATCATATGTACATTTCTACAATGAGATATGTGTCACCCCAGGCTAAAATAATTCATATAATACGAAGACATCACTTATAAAGTCACCAGATAGGAAGGCGGTGTCGAATAGTTCAATAAATGTCTCAAATAAATCCTATGGTAAATGAGATAGTATATTTTTAGTCCGCCTGGTGTCACAATGTATAGTTGTAGTCTTATCGTTTTCTCTTTCCGCCACCACCTGCTAACAGCATGGCAATCCTGATGAAGATGTTGATTGTGTCCAAATATACACCAATGGCACTGAGGGCAAAAAAAAAGGATATCATAATTCTTGAAAGACTGACACATGACAAACTTTAAAGATTGTATCTGTGAAGGAGCCCATAAAAATATATAAGTTACATATCTTTTTGTGACATTTGTTCATTAACATCCCTCTGGAAAGTTTCTTTTACACCGATAAAAAAACTTTCACAAGAAAAGAAGGAAAAAATTAATACAAGACACTCCTCTTAGTTTACTATATGGAAATATCATTGACCTATACTCACTTATTGACAGGATCAAATGGCTCCATAGCGTAAGCATCCATGGGATGGTGCTCTGCATTTTTAATAATTTTCTGTGTATCATAGAGCATGAATAAGCCAAACACCACTAGTCCACCATACATGGAGATACTGTAAAGACCTGCACCCAAGGTAGTAGTAGGGGGGAAAAACATGCCTCCTGGATTACAAAGAAGAATCAATGTTCAAGTTATATGTATAAGAGTGTGGCTAGGTGAAGAAACTAATAAAAGACAATTTAAACCCGGGTAATACAGAAAACAAGCAAGTAATGTGAAGGTAGTCTTTGAAATGTAAGCCCTCATATTTTATCATTAAACCAACAGATTATACTTAAATAAACCTAGATTAAACCTATAAATTAGATTATACTTCAGTGATACCTTAAATTAAGATAAAAGATCCCTGTTCACTCACCTAAAGAGGCAACAATGACAGCTCCCAGTCCCATTCCAAGGGTGCCTCCCATGTACAAGAATTTCTCACTGGGTGCACACAGAGCTATGGTGGACAAACCTGAAAATACAAAACTTCCTGAATAAGACTTTACGTTCCAACATACATGACCACAAAAGGCAACACATAAAACCCAACTAAATTACCAAAAATTGTGACACTCGGTTACAATATTTTCCTGACATATTTCAATTTTGGACAAAGTCTTTTGGGAGCTGAAAACCAACTTATCAACCAAGAAAAATGTAGAAGTTTGCAGACTTCAGAAACTTATGGACAAAACCCCTTCCCTTGACTGGTGATACATCACCAAGCTGATGTATCTCTTTGACCACTTTCTTATATTGTTGTTGAATGACACACACCACTTAGCATATGTCTACACCTACCTCCCACAATNGTTATGATGAAATTAATGAATACTTAGAATTTAATTGGAGTTTCTTCAAACTGCCCTTTACAACAAAGCAATATCCTCAAGCAAAACGTTTCTACACTGTGACACAGAGTATAAACCCCACAAACAAAAATTTCTTTGTGAGAAATCAAAATGACAAATGGCAATCATATGTACATTTCTACAATGAGATATGTGTCACCCCAGGCTAAAATAATTCATATAATACGAAGACATCACTTATAAAGTCACCAGATAGGAAGGCGGTGTCGAATAGTTCAATAAATGTCTCAAATAAATCCTATGGTAAATGAGATAGTATATTTTTAGTCCGCCTGGTGTCACAATGTATAGTTGTAGTCTTATCGTTTTCTCTTTCCGCCACCACCTGCTAACAGCATGGCAATCCTGATGAAGATGTTGATTGTGTCCAAATATACACCAATGGCACTGAGGGCAAAAAAAAAGGATATCATAATTCTTGAAAGACTGACACATGACAAACTTTAAAGATTGTATCTGTGAAGGAGCCCATAAAAATATATAAGTTACATATCTTTTTGTGACATTTGTTCATTAACATCCCTCTGGAAAGTTTCTTTTACACCGATAAAAAACTTTCACAAGAAAAGAAGGAAAAAATTAATACAAGACACTCCTCTTAGTTTACTATATGGAAATATCATTGACCTATACTCACTTATTGACAGGATCAAATGGCTCCATAGCGTAAGCATCCATGGGATGGTGCTCTGCATTTTTAATAATTTTCTGTGTATCATAGAGCATGAATAAGCCAAACACCACTAGTCCACCATACATGGAGATACTGTAAAGACCTGCACCCAAGGTAGTAGTAGGGGGGAAAAACATGCCTCCTGGATTACAAAGAAGAATCAATGTTCAAGTTATATGTATAAGAGTGTGGCTAGGTGAAGAAACTAATAAAAGACAATTTAAACCCGGGTAATACAGAAAACAAGCAAGTAATGTGAAGGTAGTCTTTGAAATGTAAGCCCTCATATTTTATCATTAAACCAACAGATTATACTTAAATAAACCTAGATTAAACCTATAAATTAGATTATACTTCAGTGATACCTTAAATTAAGATAAAAGATCCCTGTTCACTCACCTAAAGAGGCAACAATGACAGCTCCCAGTCCCATTCCAAGGGTGCCTCCCATGTACAAGAATTTCTCACTGGGTGCACACAGAGCTATGGTGGACAAACCTGAAAATACAAAACTTCCTGAATAAGACTTTACGTTCCAACATACATGACCACAAAAGGCAACACATAAAACCCAACTAAATTACCAAAAATTGTGACACTCGGTTACAATATTTTCCTGACATATTTCAATTTTGGACAAAGTCTTTTGGGAGCTGAAAACCAACTTATCAACCAAGAAAAATGTAGAAGTTTGCAGACTTCAGAAACTTATGGACAAAACCCCTTCCCTTGACTGGTGATACATCACCAAGCTGATGTATCTCTTTGACCACTTTCTTATATTGTTGTTGAATGACACACACCACTTAGCATATGTCTACACCTACCTCCCACAATGCCAGCCGTGTACCAGGCAGCTCGCAGTAAAATCGGTCCACCCAGGAAAGCAAGTGGCGCCACCACAGCCCCCAAGATACCACAGTGTGCCATCCAGGCCAGTTGCTTTGTTCCAAAACCTGGCTTATATGGAATAGAGCGCGCCACCATACCCGAGCCTATCATGGCAGCCATGGTTGCAATAAGAGCCTGGTAAGTGCGAAATGAATGATCCTTTAACAATTATATGTGAATAAAAATTCTGCAGAAATATACACAGCAGGATCAGAGACATGGGTGAGAGAATTCTGATATAAAAGTGGGTGGTATATCAATAAATCCTTGCCGTGAAGAAAAAAGTAAAAAGTAAAATTTAAAGTAAAAACACTTATAAATGCAAATATACATGAGAAAAATGCCAAATGTGTTTCCTAATCAACAGTGACAACTATGTTTTCTATGTTCAGCTCATGCAGTGAGTTCACAACCCAATGTTTAGCCAAGCTGTGTACTTACCATCCATCCATTTTTAGTCACTAGGTTTAACAGTGCTGGGGTTCTGTACACTACTGATGCAGATGCTGCAGTCAGTACCAAACTTCCTCCAAAGTACATGTATGTAGAATGTATCCGGTCTTTCACATACTGGGGCCAAAATCTAATTAAAAAAATAAATAGAAAATGTAGACAATGGCTCTCTCATAAACCAAAAAAACAACAACCAGAGAGGAACCCAAGAACAAAGACCTTTGCCAAGGAAAAGCAAACTACTGAAATTGATATTGAGAGATATTGAAAAAGTGCCTCACACTTTAGCAATTTTAGCAGAAAACCAAACGACTGAAATCAAGATATCAGTACATTTTGAGATAATACCTTCCAATAATCAAATTTAATCAAAGACTCACAGCCAGGAATTCAAACAATGCTTTGATAAGGGCAAATCTATCCAATTTTTATAAATACAAGATGGCTGCCATCAATTCTGTCCCAAAATACAGTTACTGTAATTCCTCAAAATAATCAAGAGGCCCATTTTTGCAGGTTTTTTATTTTGAAATGGAAAAATTTAAACAACAAAAATTATCTTAATAATATTACTATACCCTATTTGGTTGAAATTGTAATAATGTCTTTCCTTAAACAGTATATACCTATCTTGAAAATTGCATTATAATTTGTGAAGAACTTAGAGACACACCAATTCCAATGCAAACTTAAAGGGATAATAACTTTTGTTTGGCCAAAAAATGAATTTTCCTGGAGTTAACAACATTTTTCCCATATTTATCAATGGTTAATGAATCCATTTTTACATTCAAAGTTAGTCCCTGTTTTTTTTTTTTTTTTTTCTAAAAAGTTTGTTTTTTTGTTATTATCTCTTAAGAGATTATAACAAAGTATAGCCATCAATGGAGGTCACGTGGTCTAAAGACAAGCTCAGATATCAGAATGACAGCTATAAGCCTATAACTGCTGTTTTTGTGGTAAAACAGAATATATCTTATTTCTATGAGTTGTTCACAATGTTTTTATTGTGAAATATAGATCTCATACGAAGAGTTATTATTCCTTTAACCTCCTCCATTTGTGAAGATAATTTACTATGGACAATTATATATGTAAGCATTTAGAACAAATGGGAAACCTGAAACAGTGAAACAATTTGTAGTTCAATTTACATTCAACGGTAAAAATTAATTTATTAATATATTTCGTTATTTATTTTTTGCACATATCCTTTATCATCTTGGTGTAGAATGTTGAGTCAATCATAATACTAGTAACTTAAATTTAACTTTCTTACCTAAATTCCTCCATCTTGCTTACCACAGTCAATGTAAAACAAAATCAAGTTCACAAGAAAACTTACCCTGCTCTGTCTAGTGCTCCATCTTCGCCATTCAAGCCATAGTAACATAGTGCTCCGATTCCCAGTGCAGAAGACCCCGCCAGCAAACCCTTGCCAATATTAAAAGCTGAAATGGAATCACAGTGATCAAGCTTTGAAATGCCTGATACAATCATCCCATCTTACACAGTTACACAGTTCAAACTTCTGGGCATCCATATTTAGCAATGACCTAAAATGGGGTACTCATGTGGATCATATATATAAAAAAGCATGTGCAAGACTCTATTTCCTCCGACAACTGAAGCGAGCTAAGCTCAGCCCTGCTGACTTAATCCAAGTTTACCAAAGTATTGTGCGCTCAATTCTAGAATATGCCTGCCCTGTGTGGCATCCAGGACTAACTATAGAGCAATGCAAACTTTTAGAGACTGTCCAAAGTCGTGCTTTAAAAATTATTTTCCCTGACCTACACTATGATGAAGCCCTGAACCTGGCAAATATGTGCACTTTAGAAAAACGAAGGGAAGATCTGTGCAAAACTTTCTTTTACAAAATAACCGAATCCTCTGACAAATTGAATCACATCTTAATTGAGCATTCCAATCGTCTTTTAAGATCTAACAATAGATACAAAATGCCAAAATTTAAGACCGACAGATTCCGATGCTCTTTTATTCCATATGCACTTTTAAATTTCCAATAGTATTATGCTGTCTTTTATCCTAAGTACAATAATTTTAAAGTTCAGTTAGCAGTCTAAGTACAATAATTTTTAAGTTCAGTTAGCAGTCTTTTAACTCAGTTTTATTCATGCAAATATTCATTTTATTATCATTATAATTTTTTTTTTTTTTTAACTTTCTATGTACAACTTCAACCCACTGGGTTGCAATCTTAATAAATTATTATTATTATTATCTAATACTCTAGGACAAATAATTACAGAATCATTATACAAGGGGAAAAATAAATCCACACTCAAAACTCCTTCCAACCCTTAGTACAGGCACATTTTAACATCCACATTTGAATAAACAACTTAAAAAATCATTAGACTGGGTACATTCATTGGTATAACAGGGTGACCAGTTTGGTAGTAGTAACTGATATTGTTTTTTCTATTATAAATATTCACAGACTAAATATTACAGTATATTATATTATAACACGTTTCCATGTCAGTCCAACATCTTCAATTTGCACTGTCATCACTAAGTGTTTTTTTTTTTTTTTTTTTTTTTTTTTTTTGTCACCATTTGCGGTCACAAGTGTCACATTAGTGTTGGGGAGATGCTGATATTGCCAGTGACGGATTCAGAGGGGGTAGGGGGGAGGGGGGNAGAAAAATGTAGAAGTTTGCAGACTTCAGAAACTTATGGACAAAACCCCTTCCCTTGACTGGTGATACATCACCAAGCTGATGTATCTCTTTGACCACTTTCTTATATTGTTGTTGAATGACACACACCACTTAGCATATGTCTACACCTACCTCCCACAATACCAGCCGTGTACCAGGCAGCTCGCAGTAAAATCGGTCCACCCAGGAAAGCAAGTGGCGCCACCACAGCCCCCAAGATACCACAGTGTGCCATCCAGGCCAGTTGCTTTGTTCCAAAACCTGGCTTATATGGAATAGAGCGCGCTACCATACCCGAGCCTATCATAGCAGCCATGGTTGCAATAAGAGCCTGGTAGGTTTGAAATGAATAATCATATAATAATTATATGTGAATAAAAATTCTGCAGAAAAACATACAGCAGGATCAGAGACGTGGGTGAAAAAATTCTGATATAAAAGTGTTGTCAATCAATTAAGCCTTGCCCTAGTAAAAAAAAAAAAAAAAAAAAAACTAGTATAAATACAAAATATACTTGAGAAAAATGCTAAATTTGTTTCTTAATCAACAGTGACAACTACGTTTTCTATGTTCAGCTCATGCAGTGAGTTTACAACCCAAAGTTTAGCCAAGCTGTGTACTTACCATCCATCCATTTTTAGTCACTAGGTTTAACAGTGCTGGGGTTCTGTACACTACTGATGCAGATGCTGCAGTCAGTACCAAACTTCCTCCAAAGTACATGTATGTAGAATGTATCCGATCCTTCACATACTGAGGCCAAAATCTAATAAAAATCAACAAATGTAGAACATGGCTTCTCCATAAAACAAAAAACAAAAACCAGAGAGGAACCCAAGAACAAATACCTTTGACAAGGGAAAGGCAACTACAGAAATAGAAAAGTAAAACAACAAAAATTATCTAAATAATATTACTATACCCCGTTTTGGTTGAAACTTTAATAATGCCTTTCCTTCCATTGTATATAAGTATCTATCTTGAAAGTTACACTATAATTTGTGAAGATCTTAGTGAGATTTCACACAGATTCCTATGCAATGTGGAGATAATTTACCATGACCAATTATATCTCTAAGCATTTAGAATAAATGGGAAACCTGATACAGTGAAACAATTTGTGATTCAATTCACATTCATCATATTAATTTATTTATATATTTATTAATTTTTTTTTGCGTATGTCCTTCATCATCTTGGTGTAGAATGTTGAGTCAATCATAACACTATCAACTTACACTTTCTTACCTAAATTCCTCTATCTTGCTTACCACAGTCAGTGTAAAACAAAATCAAGTTCACAAGAAAACTTACCCTGCTCTGTCTAGTGCTCCATCTTCGCCATTCAAGCCATAGTAACATAGTGCTCCGATTCCCAGTGCAGAAGACCCCGCCAGCAAACCCTTGCCAATATTGAAGGCTGAAATGGAGTCACAAGGATCAAGCTTTGAAATGCCTGATACAATCATCCCATCTAATACTCTGGGGCAAATAATTACAGAATCATTATACAAGGGGAAAAATAAATCCACACTCAAAACTTCTTCCAACCCTTAGTACAGGCACATTTTAACATCCATATTTGAATCAACAATTTTAAAAAATCATTAGACTGGGCACATTCAATTGTATAACAGGGTGACCAGGTAGGTAGTAGTAATTGATATTGTTTTTTCTATTATAAATATCCACAGACTAAATATTATAGTATTATATTATAACACATACTGTATGTTTCCATGTCAGTCCCACATCTTCAATCTGCACTGTCATCACTAAGTGTTTTTCTTGTCACCAGTGGTCACAAGTGTCACATTAGTGTTGGGGAGACGCCGATATCCAGTGACGGATTAAGAGGGGGAGGGGGAGGGGGAGGGGGGAGGAGGGGGAGGGGGGGGGTCATAATATATATAATATCTTAACTTTTATACTTACCCGAGTCTCCTGCTGGGGCCATTGCTCTTTCCTTAAGGGTTGGCCTTTTCACTCCTTCTTTTCCAAGACCAACACTCTGTGGCTTCCTGGCGTACCCTCGACATTTTTGCCAAAGTCCTGGGCGGGTTGGGGCGGCAAGCGCCGGGGGTCTCGACAGAGTGGTTACAAATGCAGTCAGGGGAACTCTAGTCAGCCTTGACGCATACATCTTTCCTGGCTACTTTTCTCGTTAACTTTCCGTCGATTTAGGCTTTCTTTGCAGTTGGTTAAAATATCTGTAAATATTCAAAGTCATACAGATTCTCTACATCTTATTTACGTCTTCCGAGGGCTTATATATATGACGAAAATCTAGAATGTTCCACTCCAGTCATGATGCAACGCATGTCACTTATTTCATTCCATTTATAATAATAATGGCTGATTTACTCACCAGTAAGACACTTCGAATGCAGCAATTACATAAAGAAAGGTAAAGATCTTTTCGGAACAGCTGACCTTTGTAGGTATCCTGCAGCGCATTTATGGATTATATAAATTATTTTACAGCGAGCTTTTCAGGCTGGCTACCTGATTGGGATTGCGCATGCGCATAATACGACATTGAGAAAATGGACTTGCTGCAAAATGGCAAGTAGTAAGGTGTCATCTCAGGTCAGATGTTCTGTAAATACTTCTTTCAGTTAATATGTGCAATCTGTAACAACCTAAAGCTGTATGTTTTATGTGCAATCTGTAACAACTTAAAGCTGTATGTTTTATATTAAGTGTGTGTCCATGATGAGACCAGTCAGAGGGTGGCAAGGTGGGGGTCAACAGATTTCAACCAAATTCATAATATAGTTGCATATATAGGAGATATTCACATTGAAGGCAACAATCCCAAAAGAAATCATTGGCTATAATTTTTATATAATATTAAAGGTTTTGGCCATTTTTGGCTTGATTTTCAGCTTCGGTCAATAAAGCCACTTCATAAGGAAATATGTCAAAACTGATGACTTTTTAAAATAAATTGATAATTTACCTATTTAAACCAGCCATTTGCCATTGAGAATATGTTACTTATTTCAGTTTAACCCACAAACTAACGAGCCACGCCCATTTTTATAACCCCACCCCCCAAACTCACTTTTCTACCAAGCAATGTTCAAGCATTCATATCTCTCTTTTTGCAGGGTTGACAGCCATAAAATTGTATAGGGATCCTGAGCATATATTGGTCTCATCACACAAATTTTAAAAAGTGTGTTAAACACAACAGAAGATATTGAAAAAGTGCCTCAAACTTTAGCAATTTTAGCAGAAAACCAAACGACTGAAATCAAGATATCAGTACATTTTGAGATAATACCTTCCAATAATCAAATTTAATCAAAGACTCACAGCCAGGAATTCAAACAATGCTTTGATAAGGGCAAATCTATCCAATTTTTATAAATACAAGATGGCTGCCATCAATTCTGTCCCAAAATACAGTTACTGTAATTCCTCAAAATAATCAAGAGGCCCATTTTTGCAGGTTTTTTATTTTGAGATCTGTAATACAGGATTGCTCAGATAATATTCTTTTCAAACAGAGCCATACAACTTCTGAATAAATTTAAATTATTAGTGACAAGTTATTCACCCCCCCCCCCTTACTGTGCATATCCAATGTCATCAGCATTGTGTATATACCTTATTTTCAGGGAGCAATAGAGAACAAGGCAGCAAAGCTGTCAAATGTACAGACAAAAAACAGAAAATAAAGATGCA